ATTACTAATGTTACAACTCAGTGATGATAATAATAATTAACTAGTAACGAAACAAGGCAGTGCCAACCCCTTCCATCACCTAGTTGCCTCCAAAGAGAGGTTGGAGCTAACTCAAATGAAATTATTCCTATCCTTAGCTGAATAAGACAGTGCCAGTCACTTCCATCATCTAATTACTTTCAAATATAGGTTTAGGCTAACTTCCTCGTTTGACCTCCGACGTGAGAGTAAGTAAATAGAGAAGAAAATATAATAATTACCAGGAAAAGAAATTATAGAAGTAAGAAAACTAGTAAAAATGCCTTCACCATATATCTTTTGGGAGATTTTTAGGTAGGGTTTTCGTCCATGTGCTGACAATTCTTGTCCATGTGTCAAAGTGGTTTTTGTCCACATGCCAGGCTATTTGAGATCCTTTAGATACACACCCTATCATTTTCGATATTTGGGATTGAGAGCATAACCATCATTAGGTTATTGAGCAGGCCTGAATTATGTGATAAATTCTCTCTCTAAAAATGTCGTAATCTTCAACTATTGCTCTGCCACTCCTTTGTATGATCGATCAAATGCTCTCCAATAGACTACCATCATCTAGGTCAACTAGTTCACCTAGCTTTTCATGTCATCAACTAGTGATCCTTATTAGGTTTGGCTGCCTTCCATCAGCTGTCTGTCACCAAACCCTTTTTGAATTTGGTCGCCTGGCAGACCCTTTAGGATCTGGTCACTGCCAGACCGTTATTAGGTTTAGTCATATGCCATCAATTGATTAGCATCAACTACACTGCCAAATCTTTGTTGGATTTTTGTGATCCCAGCTAACATCAATATGTTTCAATATAAACATTCAAACTCTTATCCTTCGCTAATCTCTAATTTAATTATTTATGCAATTAATTCTTCGTAATGTTTATTGCAAACAAATGTCTTATGTTCAAATGGCAATTAAAAAAAAATCACTAGAATAGATAAGCTTTTTCTAATTGCAATTTGAACATGTAGGCAAGAGGACATGACAAAAGAATATGTAAGAATTGGTTCGCTAAAAAGTAAATTACATGGAGGATATAAACTAAGGGCAAATCTTACCAATCCATGTTAGATGCACGTATATGGCACTTATTGGTATATAGTATCAATTAATCTAATGGTTTTCATTGATGACCATATTCCAATTCCAAAACGAGGTCCATGATCCAAAATAAAAATCAGTTCAATCAATTAATTTATTTTTACTTATTTGACCTCATTTATCTAGTGGTGACACGTTTTGATTTTTAGATTAGATATCACTGACACGATTAACGAAGAAAAAAGAAATTAACGCACTATATTGATAGCCATTTAATGAATTATTCTCACCCCAAAAGCATTCGTTGTCTTTTAAAAATTAAAAAGAATAGAGCATTCTAAACTCTAGGTAAGATAGAGATGAGGACATAAAAAATCAAGAATCCACTTTTCCATTATTCCTTCATCAACATTATCTTAAGTAATACCTGTCTGCAGCCGAGCTTACTTTACACGTCCATAGCAATGAGTAGCATAAGATTAGTATATCTTGTAATAGCTTTATCAATAGACACCAAATTAATAAAATATACATTAAAAATGCAATGCTTAAGAAGTTTTAGTTGAGACCTTGTTTGGTTCAGCCTTTTTGAAATTATATGTTGATTAAATTTCATTTTTAACTTCACATTTTTTGAATCTACAATTTTTAACCACATATTTTATGAAACTTACTCCTTATAATCTTAAAAAGCTAGACCAAAGAGAGACTGAGAATATGAGTTTGATTGACTTTTTTTCATGAAAAATGTTATTTTTTCGTTCAAATTCCTACTTTTTGAATGTTTAATTGACAATCTTTTTTAATAAAAAAAATATTTTTCAACTTTTGATTAAGCTATCATAATTTCCTCAAAAACATGAAAAAAAATATTTTATTTAAGGAGTGGTTTTTATTTTCCAGGTAACTCTCTCTCTCTCTCTCTCTCTCTCTCTCTCTCTCACATTTACCCCCCCACCCATCTACCCATAATAAAAAATTAGGGATGGCAAAAAAATCTATTCAACCCGATACCCGTGAAATCCCGCCCCGAATAGGACAGGTAATACTCGCCTAACCGAATATATGGGATGGGTATAGGACGAGAGTCATTGTCTCGAAATGGGTATGGGATGGGTACGGGAAACATAGTCCCCGCCTCTTAATATTAATTTCAAATTTAAGTTTCTATCAAACAAAAATAATATATTTATCATCTTTTTTTTAAAGATAACATAAGTTGTTTTTAACGACTTGTTAAAAAAATAATACCATTTACTAACTAAGGACTTAAAAAATAAATGAGATGATAAATGGGGCAGGAGACTTGCCCTGTCCCGAGCCCACCCCGTCCTACTTTAATTGGGTATGGGTATGAATATAGGGTAAGATAACAAAAATATCTGACGAGACGGGGGTAGAAATGGCCTACCTGTCCCATACCCCTCTCGATGTCATCCCTATAAAAAATGGACAACTGAATAAAACGCATTTAGTTAATAAAATTTCATACAAACAAGTTCTAGTCAATTGAATTGTATAGAATTTATTTTTTTATGCAAGTTTCATTATTGCAATCAAACACACTCATAGTGCTTGTTTACTGAAATTTTATCAACTATGTAATCGATCAAATTTCAATTATAATCACACATTTTTTAAAAAGTACAACTTTTATCAAAATTCAACCACACATGTTATCATCTTTTATTAAAATATGGTAAATTATTTAAGCAAAACCATGGGTGGATTCGAGTGGCTAAGATTTAATCAACTTTAGGAATATTATCATTCGCCAATAGCCGTTGGTTTTGACGTCAGACAACGACAAAGGAAGGGGATTGTATCATCTGACTGTGAGTTTCTGACGTAAGCAGTTGTTGCCTCGTTACTTCTCCCATTAATTATTCTAAGAATAAATTATAAATTTATGTTGCTTCTTCGAACGTGGGTACAGGTAAACCGTAAACGCGCCAACCGAGTAATGTCGCCCAGACAATTAAAGTCTCACATATTTTTGTACGAACTTTACAAATATTAGTGGCGAATATTGTGTAGAAACTCCTATTCGCCTTCCTGTCACATTTTTTCCAACTCAATAATAGAAGACCTCTACTCGGTGTTTTACAGTACTAGTCCTGTTTGAGATTGATATTGATATTGATATTGATTTTAATTTTGACTTTGATTTGTAATGTTATTATTTTCTTTTCCTATTTGAATTTATAGACAATTATTAATTTGTGGAAGTTTTAGGTCATTTTGTCAAAGATAACGATAACTTGTTCTTATTATTTAGCTTTCGTTTGATTCCTATTATTTTCAATATATATATTTTCTTTTTTTTTCAACCACATATTTTTCAATAAAATAATATTATACGAAAATCCAAAATTTTTCATTATTTTTTAACCACACATTTTTCATCAATCTACTGTACCAAAATGCATTCTACACCAAAAGTAAGGATCAAACAGGCCCTTAATGTTATCGCATCGACTAGATTATTATCTTTTTATTTTTATTGATTTGATGGGTTGATCAATGATGTTTTAAAATCTAGCATGGAGGATTCTGCCGAACGTGAGACGTCACCTCTTAGGTATGTATTGATTCAAGTGAGCTTGTGTTTAAGTGTTGTGATATTAAGCTATATACTTGTTGAGTTGAGATAGTTTACTAGTGATCTTATACGACTACTTTTTATTTCAGGACTTCTGTATGAAATTAATTCTATCCCCTCATGTATAGCTTGTTGATTGGCGATCATATTGTGCATTTCAAAGAGTACTTACTACATGTAGAGCTGAATGAAGTTCCTTTTGGTTTGGTTCCAAAGAAAATCAAAATCAAATCAAGAACATGTAATTTTCTTATTGTGGGACCATTTTTCATCGATAATTAGACAAGTGAATCGAAGCGAATGAATTTGGTTTAATTTGTTTCGATTCATAACTAAAATTTGAAAACAGTTTTACTATACAAAGAGAAATCATCAAAAGTGAACACTCACAACCAAAATCAAAAAAATAAGTCTCGTGGTTAATTTAAACATCATTAATTTTTAAAAATGGTTAGGTTAGTGAAAACATCATTAATTACACATGAGGCCAACTACCACGTCAAGGTACTACTTCACAGTTAAGGTACAACGGTTTATTTAAGTATATAAATTGAAAGAGAAATATTCGTTGCATTAAAAGTTGTTGGAAAAATAAAATAAAGGTTCTCAACCCTTTGGAATTCTTTAAAAGATACTGATCTAATCATCAAAAGAACAAAATTCAATTGTCGAGACACGTTTGATTTTCACTTTTCTTAAAATGTATTTTTTTTCTTTTTTTCTTTCAATCATACATTTCTCATTAAAATAATATTACACGTAAATAAATAAAAAATCTATATTTTTCATCCATACATTCCCTATCAATTTGCAATTTTAAAATTCATTTTTTTCATAAATGTGTGTCAAACACCCCTTAATCTTAAATTGAGATGAAAATTTATTGGTCACTCGAGATAGAATTTTGAAATCACTTTTGGCGTGGAGAAAATATCATTTCGCTACGCGCTGAAGTCCGCATCTTGATTTTTGGACTGTACTAGCCACGGAGGTATCAGTACGATTTCTGGTTTACGCGCTTGTCGAGGGGGCATTAATTTTTCCTCTCATGTGCTCCACTATATAAAAGTCTGACATTATTAAAAAATTCACGATTCTTCATTTCTACTCAAGAATTGTTCCTCTCTCTGTCTCTCTGAAATTTAAGAACATCACCAAGGTATGGAACGCCAAACTTACCTCTTATCTTTCGCTTCTTTAATTCTTTTTCTTGTTTTAACTAATAACTGGGGTCCTCTGTGATTGATGGTTCGAAATTGATTTAAACATTTTTTTTGAGTAATTATAGTTTGTGTTATAGATCTGTCTTCTGNGGGTCCTCTGTGATTGATGGTTCGAAATTGATTTAAACATTTTTTTTGAGTAATTATAGTTTGTGTTATAGATCTGTCTTCTGATTAAGAATGATTTCATTTTTGATGTGGGTTGATGGGTCTTTAACAAAATCTCGAAGGAGTGGGTTTCCTCTTTAATTAGCTTTTATGATATGGGTTGATGGTTGGATGAAGAAAGCTTGAAGAAGTGGTTTTCTCATTTTACTCTTCGATTTCTTCTTGGGAATTTCGCTTTGTGATGTTAGAAGGTCCAAATAGATTTTCATTTGATATTAAGCTCTGTTATTTGTTCAATAGTTCAATTGTTTTCTGTTATCTTTACTCTGTTTGAACATTTACGCTGTAATTTGGTTCTGTACTTCAATTATTAGCAGATTAGCATTGACTTTCGGCTTTGCATAGTCCTCGCTGGGAAATATAGTTTCAGTATTATAAGCATCTTTCTTCATTCATCTATCGTCTAACTATATATTGTATTGTTCAGTTTGATCATCATACCAAAACCTTGGTCTTCTGAATGAATCCCATAAAGGAATTAGTTCCATTTCATACTTGTCTTCCTGTGAATTATGTATTTGGTCAACTTTTGTTGATATATTCGATCTAAAGGTGTAAGAAGGTATTGACCTCACACTCGGAAGCTAATAGAACCTTAAAACTTCCTCAGTTAATTTACCATGGGAGGCAGGCCTGTTTCAATGATAGATCAAATAAATAAGGAAATACGTTATATTAGAACTCGTGTCAACTTGTCCATTTTTCTCGTTTAGAATCTTCTCAGCCACCTGCTATTTGTGCGTTTATAGTCACCTCATGATTATTTTAGTGCGGATTCATGATTACATTTGTAATCAAATGTTGTCGAGCCTTCAAAACTATGTATTTTACTTGATGATGTGATCTGTATTGTTGAAATGCACTTATCATGTGTCCTCTTTAATGCCAGATTTCTCTCACAAAGGTCAAATTTTTAGAGGCTAAGTTGCTAATTTGGCTACACCATATATATTTTTGCCAAGGAAAGTATCTCTCTGCCAAATGAGATGTGGTTACTGTACATGAATTGAGACAGGTTGAGCTTAACGTTACTAAGTCAGCATCAATAGAAATGCAAGCATCCCAGGACCCTCAAACATCGTCCGGTATGGCATATTGCTTTTCTCCTTTGCAAGTTCTGAACAGCAATTCAAGTGGTAATAGAATTAGTGAAGGGACTGAAGTTTCTGTTCAAAATTGCACCGAACAATTCTTCACTTTGGAATCAACACCAGCAACTGATTTTGTTATCTACAATTCACCTTCAGCTCTAAGCGTCGCATCTAACAGGAGCCCATTTTCTCCCCAGTGTTCTCAATCCTACGTGTCTGATATCCATCATTCATCTGATAATAATTACGGGTCACCATTAAGTGGGTATTCCGGGGTTGATGATAACAGCAAATTGATGCATGCACTCATGGTATTGAGGAATGAATTGTTGGGACCTGAATCCGATATGGACGACAGTTGCTCCTTTTACGGTGTACCCTCACAAACTTCTACCTTTAATAAATTCGACCGAATCTTAGAAATGGCACCTAGCATGGATCTGAAACAGGTGCTCATTGAATGCGCCGAAGCAGTATCAGAAGGTGATTTATCAACTGCAGAAGCTCTGATGGACATATTAGAAAGAAGGGTTTCAGTATCTGGTGAGCCTATAGAAAGGCTGGGTGCATACATGGTGGAAGGACTTAGGGCAAGATTGTTGTCCTCAGGAAGTATAATCTACAAAAAGTTGAAGTGCATAGAGATAACGAGTTCAGAATTGATATCTTACATGCAGGTCCTTTATCATGCCTGTCCGTATTACAAGTTTGCGTATATGTCTGCCAATGTTGTAATTGGGGAAGCCATGGAAAATGAGAATCGAATCCACATTATCGATTTTCAGATTGCACAGGGCAGTCAGTGGGTGTTCCTTATTCAGGCTCTTGCACGTCGGCCCGGTGGACCTCCATATATCCGCATTACTGGTGTTGATGATTCCCAGTCTGCTCATGCAAGAGGTGGAGGACTCGAGCTAGTGGGTGAGACTTTGGCAAAAGTGGCCAAATCATGTGGTGTGCAATTTGAATTCCATGCCGCTGGTATGTCAGGATGTGAAGTCCAGCTAGAAAATCTTCAGATACGACATGGAGAAGCCTTGGCCGTAAATTTTCCTTATATGCTGCACCACATGCCAGACGAGAGCGTGAGTACTATGAATCATCGAGACCGCTTGCTTAGACTAGTTAAGAGCTTGTCGCCCAAGGTTGTAACCCTTGTTGAGCAAGAATCCAACACTAACACTGCCCCGTTCTTTCCCCGATTTTGTGAAACTCTAAATTATTACACAGCAATGTTTGAGTCAATTGATGAAGCTCGACCAAGGGAAGACAAGCAGCGGATTAATGCCGAGGAACACTGTGTGGCAAGGGATGTTGTCAACATAATAGCATGTGAGGATACCGAGAGGGTGGAAAGGCACGAGCTTTTTGGAAAATGGAGGTTGAGACTCATGATGGCCGGATTTTCTCCAATCCCATTGAGTCAATCGGTAAGCACCGCCATTAGGGACATGTTAAATGAGTATAGCCGCAATTACAGTATCGCGGAGAGCAATGGCGCTCTATATCTTGGATGGAAGAACAGAGCTATGGCTACATCTTCTGCTTGGAGATAAAAACTTGTTAGGGATTTGCTTCACTAAATCTATAGTTTTTTATTTACTTGTAAAGTAAATTTTCTGCTGGTTATTGTACTTTTTCTTGTCGCTTGAGCTGCTCCGGTAGGGCTCGACTCCGGCACTTAGACCTCTTGTACGGTAGTGGCAGCACTGGGATTTGGATAGACTGTTTTCTTTTTCTTTTTTTTCCTTAAAAAGATATCCATGGATGCATTTGTAGCTCTGTATTGGCACATCTCAAGAACCAAATGCGGCATTTTAATGCTGGAACTTGTGACATAAATTAAGGTTTTCCAGTTGGTTAAGATTCAACTTAGGGTAATTGG